ATTTACTTACTCTGCATTCATCACCCACCTCACTCCTTCTTCATTCTCTCCGTCTACCCGGTTCCTCCGTTCTCTCTGTCTTGCACTAACCAAAGATTTTACTTCAATCTCACCTCAACTTACTAAATGTCTGCATTCTCTCCTTCTCGGTGGCTCATTACTCTTTCCACTCCCTTCAGTTCCTAACTTTTAAACCGTCAACACCTTCTCCCAAAGGTTAAAACTTGCCACTAGCATTACTCTTCAAAAGCCTCACACAGTCTTAGCTACCTCGAGCTAATTTGCTCTGCATGTGTGATCTGTTTCCCTCCCCGTCCGCTGCATTCGATTTCTCAGTTTAACATGCATATCTGCTTTATCACATCCAAAGCTAATCTCACCTCTGCCTACCGCATTTATTCCCCGTCTCTTTCTCTTGCTTCACACAACAAAGCAATTTGATTTCTACCTGTGTCCTCTCTCCTCACGGCTCACCGTTTTATCTCCTCACAAACTAATTTAGTCTTCATCCGTGCTTCTCTCTCTCTCTCTCTGTCCCCCATCTCCTCTTTGCATCTCTCGGCTCTCCGAGGCGTATCCCTCGTATTATATCTCACTGTAATCTGCATAGTGTACACCTCTCTTCATCACTTCTGAGTCTGTGTTCTTTCAGTTGGTAAAAACGATCAGACATCCTCTCTTTCTGTCTGCTGTTATCTCCGTCTTTAAGGTTGACTGTCCGCTGGGAACTTCTCTTTATGCTTCTCAGGTCTTTTTTCCGGGTTAATGACTGTTCAGCTGCAAGCTTTGCATGCTTCTGAGATAAATGAGCGCTCGAGGTTAGAAATATTTTAAGTCTAATGAATAAAAGAGTGCAGATTGCAGCGCTTCGGCTGAGTTTAAGCAACTGTAGCTGCAGGAGGTGTGACTAAAGCTTCCCTCCAATTGATAAACTCCAAAGTGAGGCACCCTGGAAATAGAGAGCTTTATTAGAGCAGCAGAAGCTAATTAATCCACATTTAATACAAATTGTTCCTTTTATCACTTGTCCGACAACTATACTTGATTCACAGCCTCATTTAAATCCCGTTTAACAGCAATGGTAAATCATTTCAAGTCTAAAAGGTATAATCTCAACAAGTCCATCTCTAACAGCTGCATTTCACAGGAAATCTATTGGATGGAATCTGGATTTGTTCAGTTGGCTGAGGTTTGAAAACAACATATCTGGTTTCTCCTTAAAATACCACAACAGCTGTCTTACCCATTTAAATGAATTATACTTAAGGCGGCAGATGTATGTCTATGAGAAATCAGCAAAAGATCAAATTCATACTTTTTTTTTAAATGGCGGCACAACACTATAAGATAGAGAATCATTCAATGATGGGCTGATTTGTTTGCGCTGTTAATATTACCAAGATATCAAAAGAGCCGTTCATTTGAGTTAAATAACGGTTTTCACACTAGAATTAAGCAGAATTTTAACTTTAACTCTTGTTTTGTTACACAAAAGCGTTCCTCGCAGTTTCATATAAACCTTGGGCTAAGGTTGTGTATTCAGTACTCAGCTGAACGACATGTGACCCCTGCTGATGCAGTGTTGCACACTATTCTGTGGGGTTGACACCATAAAGGTAGTGTTAACCCTTCTTCACAGCAGGGTTTATACCCTGTGGGTATAAAGTGGTTGTAACCCTCATGCAGTGTCAAACCTTTCTTATCCCAGGGTTAAACGTGTGGTTTAGAGACGGGTTAGCCTGAGGTTACATTGTGAAATCTTTGTTTTTTTTATCTTTTGTCTGGTGGAAGAAGTGAAGAGACTTCTTAAAGAGGCCAGTTTTACCTGGATGAGGCCTTCACCTGCTGAGTCCACTTACTTATAACTCCAAGGTTTTCAATTTGCTTTTATTATTGTTGGTTTTATTTGCTGCTTTGTATGAAGTAATTTGTAACTTGTTTTTTAAAAAGTGCTCTACAGATTACTTACATACATTTATTACAATGTTCTATTATGCTCTATAGTTTTGATGACCACCAGCTCACTAACAAACATTAACTTGAGCCAACAAGGCCTGACTTCACTCTCCAGGGGATCGGATGGACCGCTCATTTCACAATTTTATGATTTAAGCTGATGAAACTATTTTTTTACATAAACATTTGGCTTGAGTAAAGAAACACCAAAGAAATTTGTTCACACCTCACACATGTCTATTGGAGGCTTCTGTTCTAGCGTCAGAAATATATTTGACTCAGAGGAAAAAGAAGGTTTCCAGTCTCGGTTTAAAAGCCCCGGCTCAGCTCCCGCCTGAGAGAGAAATCCATGGAGTTTCAGGGAAAAGCAATGTATGAGAGGAATGATGAAGGCAGGTAGGATGGAAAAATTAAGAAAAAAAAATGAATGTGGTAGAGAGCAAACTTGGTTGGGAGATGTCTGGAGATTTCGGTGTGTTGCAGAATCAATTCGTCCCTGGTTATTGGTCCTCCTCCTCCTCTTCCTCCCACTAGCCCTGGGCGTTGACAAGACACCGCAACACCCGACGCCTACGCAAGGAAAGCAAAACACTGACTACCCAGAACCCATCTGATTTCCCTCACTCTCATCCTACATCCCTCTCTCTCTCTCATTGCTCCCAGGTGTCTCTCGCCCCATTTTCCCCCTGAAGCCCTCCTTCCATGTTAGTCTCTGTGAATTCATCCGTCTCCCTCGCCTCTTCTCCGTCCTTTCCTTCATCTCTCATACTCATGCTGTTTGCACTCTCTCCCTCTCCTGTCCCATCTTTAACTTTCTTTCTTTGTTTGTTTTTTTCTCTGCCCCTCCTGTTCTCACAGATTTTCTGTCCTCTTTTACGACTTTTATTACCACTGATTTTATGTCCCCATCTGTTATCCTCTCTGTCTCCTCTGTCTCCGTCCTCGGGCCCTTACACATCTCGAGCGGACAGCGATCTTGCATGTTCATTGCATGTCACACGGTGCAAGATGTGCACTGTATGACATCTATTTTGAGGTTTGGGAATGTCTGGTGAATCGGAGTGGTATGCTGTAGATAGAAATAAATGCAAGCAGTCCCACACCATTGGTCATCCAAGCTTTAGCACATTTGTTGTTTTTTTCAACCTAAAAAGTGGAGCTTCAACAATGTTCCAGCTTTTCATGTATTCTCAGTCATTTCATGTCATACTCCAGTGTTTCCCCTATATTCACAAGTATGGGCGCCACTGCTAACATTTCACACGATCATTAATATCCTCCGCTTTTGTGTTGAGGCTTAACCCCTCCACCCACAGAGCACAGCAGACGAGAGACATTTAAAGTGAAGGTAATGTTGTTGGTACCGGTTACAAACCAGCTCAGTCTCGAACGACTCGCTAATGTGCTGATAGCTTCTGTGTTTTTGGCTGAGCTACACCATCAGTCATCTTTCTGGTGTTCTTCATCACTGTTTTGGAAGAAGGAAACGACAGGAGTAATGGATGAACCACCTTTAAAAAAAAGTGACACATTTTCTTTGAAGATAAGTTCTGTGGTGGATCTCATGAGCGGTGGACCCCCTGCAGTCAACCTACCCAACAAGTTTTTCTCTTGATTATCAACTTTTCACTGGTGTCTCCCAAAATCAAAAAATGATTTCCTCTTTCCCTTCACTTCCCATTGCCTCTCTCCCTACTTTCCGTCTTTCTCTCCATTTTCTCAAACTTTCCCGACTCCCTCCGTCTCTCTTTCGCTTTCCTTCCATCATACTCTATTCTGTCTTTCTCTGTCCCTCCCACTCGCTCTCTGTCCCTTACTACCTCCAGCTCTCCTTTGCTTCTTTCCCCTCTCTTTCTTCATTCCTCTATCTCGCTGGAAAACACTCTGTCTCATGAAAGAAAAGTGTAGCTTCACTCCCCCCGCTCTCCTTTGATTCGAAATAAAAGGCAATGTGAAATATCCCCCTGACACACACACTGACATTCATAGCATCTACCCTCTTCAACAGTCTAGTCAATGGCTCAAAGACTGAGGCAATGTAACAGTATGAAGGGGAGGCAGAGAGAAAGAGAGAGAGAGAGGGAATTAGTCGAGAGTTTGGGGAAGGTAAGAAAGAACAAAATGTGTGTGTGTGTGTGTGTGTGTGTGTGTGTGTGTGTGTGTGTGTGTGTGTGTGTGTAGAAGACAAAGTCACAGGTAGAGAGCTGAGTGGGGGGAGCTCTCCCAGGCGGCAGAGTGTGTGTTTTCATGTTGTTCAGCTCAACACGACAACAGAGTTAAAACAGAGTGGATCAAAAAGGAAGCCAACATGGGACATGAACAAAGGCACAGACAGTCAGTTTTGGTTTATCAGTCTGGAGTTAAAGACTACACCAAGACACAACAAACACACAAATAAACACACTACTCTCTGTCCTATCCATCAAATTCAAGCATTGCGGTGTAAACAGTGCCAAATTATAGAATACATATGAGGACCTGGTTTATGTTATTAATTGGGTGATCAGCATTTTCTGTAAAGGCCACAAATCAGGGGAACACCCTGCCTGAGGATGTGAGGAGCTGCAGCTTCATCAGCACTTTCAAAACCATCTTCAAAGGTCTGTTAAAACTCAGCTCTGTACTCACTGACATTGAATTCTATCTTACTTTATTGACTGGCTAAAAAGAGTGATCAAGATCAAGGACATTTCCAGTTAGATGTGGGTGATTTCTATTTATTTTAGGGCATTAGCAATAGGTAAATTGCTTAAGATATTTCCAAAAATAAAAGATGGATGGAAAGAAATTGGGTTTATTCTCCACTTGCTTTAATTAAACAAACATGTGAACATTCTAGCACTACTGTTCATAATCAACATGTCCATACCACCACCCCTACCTCACGCAAACACACTGCATGTGTATTTTATAAGCGCAAAGACAGACATATCCATAAAGAACCAACAAAATCAGCTAAATTGGAGCAATTTTCCATGACCTCACCTTTTGCCACAGCAGCACAAAGTCATGCACGCTCCCTCACTACAGCACGCAGCACTCACCAGTGTAGTCTTCACGGCAGATGCAGGTGTACCCTCCCTCTCTGCGGGCGCACACCCCTCCGTTCAGGCAGGGGTTGGAGTAACACAGGTTGATCTCCGTCTCGCAGTAATCACCCGTGAAGCCCACTGGGCAGCGGCAGCGCAGGCCTGCGATGGGGTGGATGGGACGGAACAGGATGGAGGGCGAGGAGATGAAGGGGGCGGAGCTGTTGAAGCGCAGCACTGAGATGCACTTCATGTAGTTCTGGCACGGCTCACGCAGACACACGTTGTCGTCGAACGGGAGGACCTGGAGTGATGGGAGAGGAGAGATGTCGGAAGTCGTTGTGAGGAATGTTATTGCTGTGTTGACATGTGAACAGTTACTGTTGTCGATGTTCCAGATGGCGTCCCAATTCAGATTAGCTTCTGTTACTCTAGTTTTCACTGCTCAGCATTAAGGGCCTTTCTCATCATTCTGTCTGGCAAGCCGAAACATACAATACGCTTTTTCTAACTAATAATAGCAGTAAAAGCACATGTGCAACTACTAACAGTAATGTTGTCTCTTTCAGGTGTTCCAGTAAGCCATTCAAACAGTGGTGGAGGAAGTATTTAATCATTAACTTAAGCAAAAGTAGTAAGTACTAAAAAAAAAATGTACTTAAAGTATCCAAGTAAAAGTGGCTTGTGAGTGATATATTATCATAAATAACATTTTTAGATTATTGAGTCCAATAATTTTAGATATTTTTTGTGGAATCTGGTCAGGAGCAGCTTGTTTTAACTACTTTATATACTCTTCAATCCATAACAGCACATTTTATTTTTATTAACGGACCCTTTGAAAGTAAAATCTGAAAAGTAACCAGGAACTTCAGCTGTCAGATGAAAGTAGTACAGTAAAAAGTGCAACGTTTCCCTCTTAAATGTAGGTAAGTGTAAGTATAAAATAGCCTAAAATGGAAACCATCAAGAGAGGTACAAGTACCTTGAAATCGAACAATACATGAATAAATATAGGCTACTTGGTTGCCAGGAAGAACTAGCCAACTAACCAATACAAGGGCCCGGAAATTGAAGCACCACAGTTGACAGCAACCTTAATTAAGGTTATTGATTACACCAGTCCCTCCCTTTCTATGACATGTCAAAATGTCTGCCATGTGCAGCAGGCACAGCTGTGGCGAAGAAAAGAAGAGTGAAGAAGAAAGATTTGGAGTCGAGATTTGAGAGAAGCTCTATATAGTCGGTAGCGGGGGGACGCATGTATTTTAATGCAAATAATTTTGAGATGAAAAAGATAATTTTGTTAACATTCAACAACAGCAACTTATCGCACGAGGCTAATGTTAATCACCCACAGAAACACCAACAAAGGGAAAATGTCTTTGTTTGATAAATGAAGGAGTTGTTCAAGTTAGACGAGCATGTAACGTTAGTCACCTAGTCAATGGTAGCTTATAACATGAATAGAAATGTTTCACCTTTTTAGAGATAAACTCTGAGAGACTGGAGATACCGAAGGAAACTGACTGGAGCAGAAACAATAGAAAAGTTAGCTGTTAGGTGTTATCGTGTCAATGCTAAAATATCACAGTCACCTCCCTGACAAACGGACAGTCATATTTTGATTTACTTATTTAAATCTCTCTAGATATCGTCCTCTTAATGTCAAGCCGCCATAGTTCAGATGAAAGAAGCTTCTTAATTATAATATGAATACGCTCGTCGGTTCAAGGACCTTTATGCCCTGGGTTGCGCCTCTCAGGCTACAAAGTAGAGCCCAACCGATACTATATTCTTTAAAGATCATAGCTTTCAAATCACTCCCCTACAAATCCTCCATATAGAGGATGCTACACCCCCTCTGATAAGTGAAGGCACATAGACTGGAGGCATAGTAGCTTTTGACATCCAGATTCTGACCTCACAGTGATCCATCGAAGAGAATAGATGTTGAGATGTTTCACTCTGGACCAAGAAATGGCAAAATAAGTTAAAACATAGTAAAAGAAACTCAGAATCTTCTCAGGTCTCAGTCATTAAGAACTTGGATACTCTGAAAAAATGGTTTTCCTGGAGAAGTGTACAAGCCCTATCACACTAACACTACTTCATTTTCTTGTATGTATCTATTCATTTGTCCTTATTCTGCTTCATATAAATGTCTACTTTCCAGAGGAACAGCTACTGTTTGCTGTTAAGTTCACAGGATCAGATGTACTCACAGGATTGTGTCTTCTTAGACAGTGAGAGGATATACTGTAGATTCGGTTGGTATGTGTTCATGTGTGTTTGTGTAACAGTGCCTGTAGAGAAAAGGTCGTATGCTATCAACCTTAAACTATCTCTTGACACTGAGTTGCTCAATCTTTTCCCTTTATAAATATTTTCTCCTTTGTGTTTCACTTGTTCTTCTTTTTTATCAAATCATCTCTCTCTCTCTCTCTCATGCATGTACAGCGATGCTCTGAGGGGGTGTGCGCGTGTATGTGACTGATGTGCGTGCTGTGTCCAGGTGTGTGTGATTTCATGCATGAAAACATTCAGCAGTCACATCAGCATATTGCTGGATAAAGCCATATGTCTTGCGCTGGCGTGGCATCTGTATTTTATTATTATCAGTTCACATACAATATGCCCAAGTGACTGTCTTAAGATCCATGTGTTTGCAGAATGTGTCTTACTACGTGTAACCCTGATTTCAAGCTTCTGCATGCAACTGACTTTTTTCCCTTAGAATCTATATTTTAGGTAATGTGCCTGTAGTAATAGATATATACACAAACACTAATAAAAAATGCTGATTCCTATGTTTTGTATTTGTAAATGGAAATTGACCTCCATCTGTGTGAGTGACGTCAGCCTCGGCCTGTTCAGGTACAGCTGTTCCTCCAGCGTCTCAGAAGGGAAGAAGAGTCCGCCAGGCAACGCAGCAGTGAAGCTGACATTCAGGATCCCTCCTGGCGCCGCGTCCAGGTCCGGCTGGATGTTGAAGATGAAAACGTCCTCGACAGGCACGGAGAGCACCGCTGACACGCCCTCCAGGAAGTTACCCAGCAGCGGTGACAGGAAGTGCTCCTGGGACATGTTCTGGAGGCGGACAGTGACGCTGCTGCCCAGCATGTCCTCGGTAATGATGAGGACGCGGAGAATGCACTGGGCTGAAATGCTGTGGACACCATCTAGATAAGAGGAGAGCAGAGGGAGGGAAAAAAAAAAGGTTAGGTGAATGAATGTGCTCATTCATGAGGTGTATAGAGGATGGACAAAAAGGGTTAGGAGGTGAAGGAGCAGGAGATGAAGAAAGATTACAACAGAGAGGGTTGGAAGACATAGAGTGATATATAGGTGTGAACAGATGGAGTAAGAAGAGGGAGATGGATGAAGGGGGAGGCATGAGGCATGAGGAGGCATTACGACAGGGATAAACAGCAAAGAGCGGAGAGACGGAGGTAAAGAGACGGAGGTAAAGAGACGGCGATAAATGACTGGGAGCCAGAGAGGAAGGATGACAAAGGGGAAGAGAAAAGGTGAGGAGGTCACAACAATGTCAGAAGATATGCAGCTTAGACATGACTCTGTCTCACTACATATGTTATCATGCATCACACAAGGACACTCACATCTACACACATACAAATACAAGAGAAAAATACTTGAGTGAAGAAGGAAAGAAGTTTACAGGTGATTGAAACTGACAGTAAACTGATGTTTAAATAATCTGATGGCAAAATAAGTTTGCTCTGGCCAGACTATGAATGAAGTTTCCAGTTAATTTTATTTTTTAAATTCAACTACTCTACAATCTGTTGTGCTGTCATGCCTGTATGTAACAGTTGGCTTACATTTTCAGGCAATCAGTTGACAGGACATGATGGTCTTGTATGTGATTGTGACCTAAATCTGGAAAACCACTGTTCATTAGATGTTCTCTTCCACTAAAATGTGACTTTATTCAGCCATACCCAGACACATACAAAATCTGTCACAAAGACAGCAGTATTTTAGTTTTTTTTCATTTAGTCATCCGCCATGTATCCAGTGGATAGTCATGATAGGTGATTTGTGGTATAAGACAGCCTGGTCATTTTCTGAAATCCACTTTAATTATTTGATCTTATGTTCCAGTACGAGAGAGAAAACAGATCCTCTGAACTCTACACTTCCTTGTGAGCCAGTAAGTTGGTTTAAAGCATTGATTGAAATAGCCTCATAGAGACAGAGAGAGACAGAGAGGTGGGGAGGTACCACAGAGTGCTCTCGTGTATAGGAAACATCAGCTACCCCATCTCCTCACATCCAGCTTACAAACTCAACACAGCGCTCCTTTCCTCTGAAACCCGTCACTACTAAGAAATGAGCTCATACGAATCACAGCAGGTCACAACCCTCACAGCAATACCTGTTTCAACAACTGACGCCAGACACATTTCATCTGCACTCACTGGATACGAACACAATCCAGTGCCGGGCTGTGTTGTATATCGTAAAGCAATTTGGTGCGACAAGCTGGCTAATAAGCTGTAAAAGAATACAAATGCACATGACACACGCCAGCATGAGGGGGCAATTTTCTGCAGCGCCGTGGAGGTAAAGCAGGGTGAACAAGAAGACCGAGAGAGTGAAAGTGTAAGAATGCCTCTCGTTGCAAAAAAGGACATGGCAAGTGGTGAAAAGATAGAATGGAGAGAAAGAAAAGGAAAGGAAAGAGCACGGCAGCATTGAAGTGAGTGTGAGGGTTGAAAGAGCGAGAGGGAGGATGCTGACACACAGAGGCGACGGAGGGTGAAGGAGGTTTATTAAATACTGGAAGAAGCAAAGGAGACGATGGAGGAGGACAAGAGAAGAGAAATGAGAAAGGAAACGAGGGTCTTTAACCAGGGATTCATGAAAAAAGAGCTCGGGCACTTATGGTAACTCACAATCAATAATAATTTACGACTGCTGTACATAATTGATTGATTATCGATGTTCACTTCTTTCCCTTTGCCAATACTGTAAAACATAATTTGAGAGGTTATTGAATTGATTAAACGGTAAAAGTTATGAATATGAAGGAGTTTGAACGAAGTGAATTACATTTTTATTTCATCTCATTTGCCGTTGACATAAAGTGTCAAAAAGTAAGAAAGGAAGAAAGCTAACAATAAATAAATGTAAAAGGCATGAAGGGAAAGAGAGACACTATAACAATAAGTCATTTCAGAGAAGGGAGGACAAAATAGAAAAAGACTCAAGAAAAAGAGCAAGATGTGGACAGAAAAACTGAATAAATAGAGAAAGAGAAGGAGAGACAGAAGATATAGAGAGCGATGGGGGTTGGGTCGGGCGGCAGCTGGTTTGATTACCGGATTATGAGACACTCCCTACTGACCTCTAACACAGACTCTCTCACACACACACACACACACACACACACACACACACACACACACACACACACACACACACACACACACACACACTCAAATCCAGAGCCCTTCCTAATAAATGAATAGACAGAGGGAGGAGTGGCATCATGGAGGGGCAGAGGAAAACTCCCACAAAAAAGCATCAGGGAACATATCAACAGAATCATTTGTAGAAAGAGATGGATACAAATGATGGATAGACAGACAGACAGACAGACAGAATAAAATAACACACAGCAGTAGTAGGTGAAGTAATTAAATGTCACCTCTTCTTCTGAGGCTAAAAGCCAGCTTTATTATCAGCTCTCTGGCTCACGATGCAAAGACGCAGTAATTGATGCTGAGCTCCCATTGTCATTGAAATGAGACATGGATCTATGAAAAGACCCCATAATCTGCTGTATAGTAGGACCCAATCTCTCTGACACACACACAGACACACACACACACACATCCATTAAAGAATGCACCTATTCACTTTACACCTACCATTGACACAAAGCGTTAACCATCCCATCTATATAGATGCCTAACACCAACACTTTCCCTATAAACCTTAATCAGACAAACATTAAAGGAGTAGTGAGACATTTTGGGACTTACTCGCATTTGCTTTCTTTCGTTAGATTAGAAGACCAATATCATACCATACATTACGTTTTTAATAAACACACTTGTGACTTTTTTTTTCTTCATATGAGCAAGTACACACTGAATTTGTACCCTAAGATGTTTTTTTTCGGAAGGACAATAAACCACTCCACTCCACGGCAACACATTCTCACACGCTTTATTCCAATTGCTGAAAGACGTTTTTTTCTCCAATTTGCCTTCAACCAATCCCTCTGCACCAAGGTTATTTATTGTTTTGTTGACACACTGTTTTGTGTGCAATTGCCATGTTGGACTCCTGCAGACTGTGCGCCTAATTGTTTTCTGATAAGAAAATAAACACTACAATTCCTTCTGCAAGGCCCGCTGAACATTTTCCGTCTGAGTCACAGGCCCTCAGGAATCCCCTCCGGTGGCCCAGAGGGACAACAGTGACATTTCAAACTGGAATATATCACAACTCAACAAAACATTTAACAGGCTAAAATGAAAAAAGAAATAAGTATCGGGGCCTGACAGTTTATACCTTCACTGCGATTTTATAAGCCTTCTGGGGTATTCTCGCCCCAAGCAGCCATTCAATTCTTTCAGTAAACCTTGCACACACACACACACGTAAAACATCTTCACTTAGTTTCCCTTCATGTCGACTGTCCAGCTAATTTGGCCAACCTGCATGAGTACAGGGCTCTTCACTCATCCCTCCACATATGAAGCCAATTGGAGGTTTCAAATAGAACAGAAAAACAACCATTCAAGCTAAATGACCATTTCAGCAATTACAACCACCAACGTCTGTCCACTTCCTGTCAGCAGGTCAATGATTCATCCACCTCCTTCTATGAGATGGGCTACACATTTAACACAAGCACATGCTAATTACAGCTCTGCTGAAAACACGAAAGCCATAACTAATAAGTCTGCGAAAATATAAAGGCCATTTTCCCAAATTTCCGCAAGGTAGGTTTTAACTTCTTTATTATAAGTTAGCCAACAGAGGATTGTCGTTGCAGCATTGGAGTCTCAGGAAAAATCTGGTGTAACATGAAGCCTAATTATAATGTTTCCTGCTGTGTTAAAAGGCACATCTTCTTTTCCAAAATGCTCAATACGGAAGAAAGTAAGAGTCTTAGAAACTGTATGCAGGGATTCCTTACTTCACCTCAAGTTTATCTTCAAAGCACAACTTAAACAAAGTCATTGTGCATTGCCTGGATACATGAGGACATATCGTTTTTAGATTCAACCTTTACTTTGTGTATCACATTCCTGTCTTTAACTAAAAACCATCCATCTGACCATCTTCCACCCAAAGAATTTTCATTTCAATTTACAAGATTTGGAACAAAACGAACAAATAAATACCGGTCAGTAATGGTCACCACACATGCATCCCTGTATTTTACAGAAAAGAACTCAGATCTTTTATCAGTTGAAGAAATTATTACTTAATAATTTAATGAATGTATATCTTCACCTGCCACTTCAGAGTCAAAAGATTTCTAATCAGATATTGATGTGAAAATGCTAAACATTTCAGAAATAGGGTTAAGCTGAGGTCCAATACTGACACTCAATAAAGAGAGAGAATCAAGTGTACAAGGACATAAGTTGCCGACTATCTTTTAAATCCTTACCAAAGCTTAAGGGATTCTCAGGTGTCAATCCTTTTTATCAGACAATATATCACACCCGTAAAAGGGCTGATGCATCATTTCGGATACAAAGCCTTCATATCAAGAACTGAATCAAGAGACATCAGGTGTATCTCAGCAGAATATAAAGACGTGGAGCAACTTTGAATTACTTTTTCGAATCCTGGTGAGAGGTGAGTAAAGGTGATCTTGTCCGCAACTTCCCAATAAGCCAGGAAGTCATAACTAATTCATCGCCCTTTCTCCATGGCACTCTGCTTTAGCGTGCATGGAAACAATAAAACATTAATAACCTCCAAACCAAAAAAAAAACACAAATGGAAGGTTATTTTAGCGTCTTTAGCACCACGGGAAAACAAAGCCCTTCCTAAATAACAACTCGGAGAGGAGCTTTCACGGCTCCTGTGGGCCTCGAGCCAACATTTCCCCCCTTCGTGTGTCCGCACTTCAAAGACGGAGGAGAGCTCGAGGCTGGCGTGCATAAAGCCTCTAAGAATAAACAAA